TCTACATATATACTAGGGATGCTGCGAATGTGCAATTGTAGACATCCACGGATGCGAATGCCAAGTATTTTTAAGAAATAATTTAAGTAATTTAGGTAAATGAAAACCACTTGCTGGAGGCGACAAATGTCTGCATGCGAATCTTGGCAATGTTTTAAATTCGTTAAATTCGTTGATGCCCCACCAGTTGAGAGGACTTTCATTTATATTTATTCTCTTCATTTAAGGAATCTTGCACCATGAAAAGATTTGTCTTTAAACATCGCTTACCAGCCGAACCAGATGTTTCAGGTTTTCCTATACCTTTTTCCAAAGGATTTCTCATTCTCATTCTTTTGGCTGTTTCGAAATTTTGTGAATCTGTAATGTTTGTACTTGTTTGAAAAATTTGTCCTTGTACCGAGGGTGTGAATGTGGACGCGAATGTTAAAATTAATGCGGAAGCTCCGCGTTTGCGAATGCGAATAACTGCAACATCCCTTCTACTACGTGCTTACATATGTACATACATACGTATGAATTATTTGCATAAACATGCTTTGAATGACTAAATTGTGTGCTTGACTCATTACAGTCTGCTACTCTGTGGAAAAGGTAATGTATGGTAATGTACAAATTCACGCATCACTTTATAAGCTACACAATACATCGTGCATGAATCTAAATACAGTCCATGTCCTACGAATGTAATGTGTCACGTGTCACTTTGAAAATATCGCGTTGCTCTCCAGCCAGCAAAATCATCGTAAACGAGCTCGCGACTGGATGAAAAACTTTTTTTTTTAAGGGAAACCAATCGTTTACGCCTCGTAAATCATAATGTTCGTAAAATGTAAGTTTTCTTGCTGGCTGGGCCTCTAAAGTCACAAACACATACATATGTATGCCGTAAATGACGAGAAAAATTGTAGTAGAAAGTTAAATTCCCTAGTAGTTTTTTATACATGGCTCCTTTTCTTGTGTAATACGAAAATTTTGTTTATTAAATATTATTTTTTTTGAATAACGTATTTACAGTCACACTCAGCAGAATGGATTCAGAATGATTTTCAACTCTAACTGGGGGTCACAATTCGACCAACCATACTGTCAATACCATTGGTTACATTTTTATGTTTTTCAAACTAATTAGAAAACAAGTAAGAAAGTCTAAGTTCGGGCGGAGCCGAACATTAAATACCCGGCGCAAGTATTAAATATATGTTTTTTCACCCTTCCGAAACCTTCCGCTAGTTGGTAAGCCGAGGTGTATCAATTTTGGGTTAATTAGCGTCCTTCAATTTCGAAATATTGAAGTTTAAAGCATTTCTTAAATTATACCGTTATATGAGAATCGGCCGTTATTTTAGTCCGATTTCAATAATTTTCAACGTTTTGCTTACACGTGGCAAGTACAATAACCATACCGAGTTTGGTACAAATTGGTAGAACGGTTACCGATATACTTATGTGTGGGCGGTGCCACGCCCATTTTCCAAAATTTTACCATAAACGTATTTCTTGGTAAAGAATTGTTGCAAGCATCAATTTTGAATAAATTAGCTTTAATATTTACTGATTTATCGAAGATTTTGTATTTCTCTAAATTACCGTTATATGGGATGTGGGCGTGGTTATTGTCCGATTTTAAAAAGTTTCGGCGGTTTTTTATGCTGTACCAAGGCCAACAACTGTGCCAAGTTTGGAAGAAATTGGTGCATCGGTTACCAAGATATACACATGTAACCATAAGTGGGCGTGGCTACGCCCATTTTCCAAAAATTTATAATATTCTTATTTTTCGTCTAAAACTTATTATAAATATCAATTTTAAGTGAATAATCTCCAGTAGTTACTAAAATATCGCAGTTTTCGTATTTCTGAAAATTACCGTTATATGGGAAGTAGGCGTGGTTATTGAGCGATTTTTAAAATTTTCGGCCATTTGGTATGTTGTGCGGAGGCCAACAACTGTGCCAAGTTTAGAAGAAATTGGTGCAGCGGTTACCAAGATATACACATGTAACCATAAGTGGGCGTGGCTACGCCCATATTGCAAAATTTATAATATTCTTATTTTTCGTCTAAAAATTATTGTAAATATCAATTTTGAGTGAATTATCTTCAGTAGTTACTAAAATATCGCAGTTTTCGTATTTCTGGAAATTACCGTTATATGGGAAGTGGGCATGGTTAAAGTCCGATTTCGCCCATTTTCAATACCAACCTACCTTGGATTAAGGGAAACCTACATACCAAATTTCGTTGAGATATCTCAATTTTTGCTCGAGTTATCGTGTACACGGACAGACGGACAGACGGACAGACGGACGGACAGACAGACATGGCTTAATCGATTTCTTTTTTCATCCTGATCATTTATGTATACATTTGTCTATATCTATCTCGATTCGTTTTGGCTGTTACAAACAACCGTTATGTGAACAAAATTAATATACCCTTGTGCACAAGTGCGCTCGGGTATAAAAATAAATTTCTATCGTTCATCAGAAAAGGTTCAATAAAAAAATTTTGTTATTAGGAAAATATTTGACAAGTTTTCAAATCAATTTCTACATATCGCTACCTAAATGTGTCAAGTTTTTTTTTTAATTTAGTTTTTGATGCAGAATGACAGGTAATACGAAACTAAATCGATTTATCGTCTCTCCTGAACAATTTAGAATATGGAATTGACACCTGTTCACCCATAGGTGACGATACATTATTTATCGGTTATTATTGGAAAAATTTACTGAAAAAAAATGTTTGAATCCAGAGTTTAAAAACGAGGCTAAACCGCGAAAAAACATAGTAAGAAAATGTGCCAAAAGCAAAATTTTATAATTAGGTAGATGAAAGATAACGCTAAATAGGGGCAACCATACAGCAGTATCTGTAGATTTTAAGAGGGCACTCTTGAACTCAATCGCAATTTTGCCTGGAACAGTGCATACAGTGTTAATTTTCTGACAAGTTTTTCTATTTTATAAACACTTTTGAAACAAGAGTTTCTAAAAATACTCTCTAGAAGAGCCACGCTGACCTTAGTGGTGGAAAATAATAACAGCATGCATTTTATTTTGCTGAGAGAAAGTTAAACGTTGAAGTTTTTGACGATTTAAATTTGTGATTTTAGGATCTTTCTTTAAAGACGAGAAATCCTGGGCTGTATGACTAGATACCATCTTCATCTGGCCTTAACACAATGAAAAATTTTCAAGATGTTTTCCATCGGAAGTAATATTAGTGTGGTAGATAATACAAAGGCGAAAAGAGTTTTATTTCTCATTTTAAAAACGCGTAGCTTCTAATATCCTGGCACTTTATGAAGTTCCTTTAACAATCCATTTCTGAAGGAGGTTTATATAAAAGCCCAATAAAGTATGATGAGTACGCCACAAAACCAGAATCATTTATTATTACCCCCTAATTAGAAATTAGTTGCACTAGTTGGTAAATGATAAAATTTAATAATTTTCATTAATTTATTACAAAAAGAACCCACTGGTAGTGCCACAGTCTTTGACGTCTAATATATTCAGACGAGTTGTGGACAATTTAGTAGACGTACCAACCAGTTAAACCTATTCTGCTGAGTGGGACTATATATAATGCATTAAAAGTAATTTGTATTCATTGTCTCATAGTTTTATTAAAAATTAGCATCTGTTAGTTTTAAGACGGGAGAAAGCACGACTTATTGAATTTTCTGGGTTAAGATACAGCAATAGGCAAAATTTATTTTTGAAAGGAAATCGAAGTAAGTCATGGGAAAAGCGGTGTAGCCTTGTAAATAGTCAAAAATCGTAATAAATCTACCACGAGTGTAGTAAAGATCTAATCCTGTTACATAATGTATGGACTAAATTGGACTTAATTGCTTAATGGAACCGAAATGTACCGAAATATTATACATACATATGTATGTTTGAATCCAAAAATTAAACGTTATTTAGAATTGTGTATTTCCATTTCGTACACATTTTATTAATATTTGTACAAAATTTGTCTACATATATATACCTTGTGTTTTGATAACGAAAATATGTAAGTATGTGTATTGAAATTAGTTCAAAGTTATCAGGCATTCAGGAAAAAATTTGAAATTTAGGTAGGGATGTTTATGCATATTAACCTAAAAAAATTGTGAGAATTTACAAAACGATGATATAATTTTTATGTAAAAAATATATCTAAATTTTTACCATATCATATTTCAGAAGGATAGTACTGATCAATAATCTCTTCTTAAGTACGAATGAATGCGAAAATTTTTCATCTCTTTTTCTATGTACACAATTAAATTGGTAATTACATCACGGCAAACTATAATTTAATAAAGGATCGTCGTTGCCTAGAACATGTCATTGGAAACCACCACCATCGTCGCCACCAATCATTAATATTAAAATTATAATAATAAATGAACTGACATTTCTTTTCCGTTCTATAAAACTTAAATCTGTAAATGTTATTAATATTATTTTTAATATAATTATTGTAATTATAATTGTAATAACATGTGTTTGTATTGGAATTTTGTTTTGTTGTTTCATTTACTCCATTACGATTTTTACTACAGTCAGTGATAGTAGCAATATTAAAATTTATAAATTTACTACATTTTTTCCTACGATAGATTTTAGTATTACTATTAAAATACAATTTACTATTTAATCTATAAGTAATTTTCTTATTATTTCCTATATTCATCTGAACGTGTTTATACCTAACGGAGCCACAATACCCAGTATTACTAACATCTTTTTTATGTATTCTCTTTAATTCACTACATAGTTGGCTAATCGCATTTCCTTCCTTATTCACTATAAAATTTTCAATTTCATCTTCGAACAAGAGCCTACTTCGATTTCGATTCGCAATCTGGTTTTGGCTTCCTTTCATGTTCTTGTTTTTATTTTGTTTCCTACTTCGGCTAAAATGTTTCTCTACGCAACAATGTACGCGTCCGTCATTTTCGTGAGCGTAATGACGGATGCAATCACCTTCGTAAATACCTTTACTGAAGTACGAGCACACCGTAGATGTAGGAAAGGAGGTGGGCGCAAATTGGTTTGCAGTAGGAGCGATGCTTTTCAAGCTTTTCTTAGCTCTTCGTTCGATTGCAAGTTCTCCTGCACTTTTCACTTGTTTTAGGCAATCGCTTCCGTGCAGTACCTGGTAACTAGTTTCTTTTAGCACATAAACGGCTGTGTAATATTTGTGCAGCGTCTGCGATGACAATCTACTTTCATTCTCAGGCTTCGATCTATGGTTCACATATTTTCGAAGTTGCTTTTGATTTGGGTGCGTCTGATTTTTCAACTGTGCTGCAGCGTTTTGACTGGTCAAGAAGCAGAGCAATGCACTGAATAGCAGTAACATGTGGTGGCCAATCCTGTCGTTTGGTACTCTCTTTTGTAGTGTGCGGAGAGCCACCGAAGAGGACGCGTAGTACGGTATGGAACAGCGACTTGTCACCGACGGTACAGGTGGGCAATCGTCGGACATGGCTGTTTCAGGCATATCGGCCACGTCTTCATCATAATAATAGATACCATCATACACAGCATAGTATGGCAAGCGATCGATTTGACCGCCCACGCCTGTTTCGGAGCTATTACTTAGTGCAATTGATATACTAGCTGCAAGTTTATTCGCCGAGTCATTTGCCAATGATGCTTCTAAACGAGCATCCAGTCGGTACTGACTCGTTGCCGTTAGAGTAATATTGTGCAAGCGTCTTGCTGAATTTCCGACCGAAGCGCTCACATCTATTGCGTCTTGTACGAAATCACTGCAGTAGGCACAAATCCCTTCCGCAATGTTATTGCAATAGCTATAGCAGCATTCCGCAGGTCCATAGCTCGATTTACGCAATTGTTCGCCGGTTTCTGGTATGCTTTGATCTAAAGGACATAAAGTACTCTGAGAGTCAGTATAATTGCAGACTAACATAGTACTCTATACTCACCCAAGCAAAGGAATGTTGGTTCACCAGCATATTGTGTTGGCAGCGCTGGAGCTCGATCAGCTGGAAGCAGATAAGGGCACTTCTGCTCTACAGTTTGGCAGACTCTTAGGCAGGGTCGTATTCTTCTTCGCTTCCGAAATTGCACCTTTCGTTTGGATCTGGATATAAGAAAAGAAAATATGGAAACTCAGTAATTGTGGTCAGTTTTTGTCTTTCGGCAATTAAATGCATGCATAATATGTATTTGTATGTATGTATGTATGCCATTATTCAACATATAATAATAACTCACTAAAGAATCTCAAAAGATTCGCAAAACACATTATTTGCTCAAGTAGCACACTGGTGTATAAATTGGTGTAAATTTATGGATTTTGGTACAAATCTGATTAGATTGAATAAAAAAAGAACATTTTGGTGTATTTGTTATTCCACCAGTATTTCTTTCAAATCAAAATTCTACCTTTAACATTTTGGTACTATTTATTCATTGAGATAAGTACGAAAACTACACCAGCTCCTAAAATGCGCCACTTTTTACATTTGGTACACAAATAGCTCCACGTTAACAAATGTCGTTAAAATTATTCCTTTTCGGTACCTTTCGTCATTATATCTGTGCCGTTCAATTAAAGTAGCTTAAGTCACTTTAGATGGTTTGACTTTGAATTAAAAAAAAAATCAGTTTCCTTTGAAATTGTTTTATATTTTAATTAAGATTCTATTATAGGGACATCTTGAACTACATCTTTGGCTAGTTAAACGTTAAAATATTGTTTGGAAATCCAATGAAATACGACATAGGCTACTTTTGGGGGTAAAAATTATTGATATTTTGTAAGACATCGCCTAAAAACCCAAAATGTACAAATAAGACGGTCCTTTCTCAAGAGATGAGCAATGTGTTTGTATGTATGTAGTTAAGTGAAGCAAGCATAATGTGTGCGGCGAACAAGGCAGGCAATAAAATCTGCACAATAATGATCAATTCGAATTTAGTAAGGTGGTGTAAGCCGTATATAAGTAAAAAATTACACTAACAAATTATACGCAGATATTCATACTGTCATTAGTATTAACTACAACAAACACGTAATTTTGATGTAATGTCCTCCACGGCGAAAAATTCAGATACGCCGGTAACACCACCTTATTAAATTCGCCCTGATACTGCTGTCGCAAAACACACTCTCGCCTTCTTTTACTTATCGCAACCGTCTTTCCAATAGTTCTGGTGGCAATATTATTTATTTTTAATAGCTGACACTATATGTATGTGTACATATAACTCATATTTTTGGCTGTTGCGCGCTTTTATTAGAAATTCCAAGATTTCAGTACCGAGTATCGAAAGTATTTGATACTTTTTAAATCGGTACCGAGTATCGATCAATACTTAAAAGTAGCGACTCAGCACATCACAAATTCTGAGAGCAATTTACAGTTGTCCAAAGAATTCACCAAAAAATTAATATTGAATACACCACACAGTAGCTTTGTTTCTTTACAGATAGGCGCATTTACACAAGGTAGTGTTAGCCGAATATGTAAAGTAAAGTAAAAAATTACAAAAGCAAATCACAAGAAACACATAATTTTCATGCTATGCGGTGAAAAATTCCGCTGTTGCTCCAACATTAGAGAGATTAGGCACAGCTACTTTGATTTGCTTCTTTTACATATTTTTGTGTTTTTTGATAAAAATGGGCGATTTATTAAATTTGATAAAGTGTGGCAAAACCTGAGTATTTGTGAACAATTTTTAAACATAAAATGTGATTAAAAATTCGCAGAAAATACATATGTTCAGTTGTCAAAAGCATCGGTCAGGTGTTTACTAGCTAGTTTCTGCTAGTTTGCGTTTCTTGACTTTTTCTATATTTCACTCGCTGTGAGCGTAATTCTGTAATTCTTCCCATTCTTCTTCCTGATCATGATCTGCTAGGAAAGTAAAGAAACAAAGCTAGTGTGTGTGTACATAATACACTGCCTGTTTTAATATGAGTTTATTATACATCCCACAAGTAGAGCTGCTATCAGTGTTGCCGTTTGGATAAATTGGTAGTTTCATTTCAGGGCTGTTCTGGTTTCGTTCGAAATTGATTTCTCATCGATTTGGATTTCCGATTCCAAATTTTAAAGATGTCTTGCAATCCTATCAAAGTTTTGAAGTTATAATAGAAAATAAATCCTATTCGAAATGTCAAAAATGCATTGAGCTGTTGTTGCATAGTATTCGTTTATTAGAACATTTGTAAAAATTTTAAATAAATTTTGTCGAATGGCGGTAATATAATGGTGATGTCAAAGTAGAAAAGCGTACTGAAAGCGTGCTAAAATGGCCTAAAACTCGTACCGAAATATTAAGATTATGTTGCTGACATTCCGTAATTTTATTGCATCATGGTTAAATGAAAACAAATAAATAAAAATAAAATTGCGCGAGCACAGTAATACATTTTTTTGTTACCAAATATAAAATGTTTATATCGATTGTATTTTTTTACATTTTAGACATAAAATAATTTATATAAATTGAATTAATCTCAAAGATTCATACTTATGCATGAAGTAAAATCAGAAACGAAATAAAATATCAATATCTGATGATTAAAAAAAATTGGTAGTTTGGAAACTGATTTGGTAGGATTTTTTGTTCCTAAAAATATTGTCGAGTGGTAACACTGGTTGGTATATTTAATACACCAGTGGTGAAATATGCATCAATAAGGCACCCCTACACGCTCAAAGTTTGTTTGGGTACTAATGATTCAACATCATGCCTTCACAAATGCAGCTATAAGTTGCATAGTATATATGAGTACGAACAACAGCGAGAATTTTTTCTACATAACATAGGCGAACGCTGATTTGATTTCTTCTTTTCGTACGCGAACGTTAACAAAACATGTTGAAATGTATACGTTCGCGTTTGCGTTCGAATAATGGACGTGTGGTAGGCGCTTAAACTTCTGTCAACTGTGTTCATTTGGCAAGAAACAATTTTTATACCAAATTCTCAAACTGAATTGTGTCTAGGGCAAAATAAATACACCGTTCTTGGCTTGGTAAATATTTTTGTACCAAACTCAATAATCGGTGTAAGTTTTCAACGACGACCATATTTTCAAAGTATTATAAAAGTAAGGCTAAGTTCACAACCTAGAGTAATAACGTTACGCGATGCAATGGAAATCGCTCAATCCAAAGAAACTTCTTCGCCAGCATAATCGCTGGCGATTAAAAAGTAGCTAGTGTTTAAATTGCAGCAAAATTATACACGACTAATTTTTTATAATAGGGGAGTTTACGATGAGTAGCATTTTGGATTTAAAGTTGCTACGTACCAATCTAGCACATATTTTGTTGTTGGGAAAGCAAAAAAACGTGTGATACATTGCTACGTAGGGATTCCCGTAATATATTTTTTTTGTTTCCACAACCCTTTGACAATTTATACCAAAACTTAAGCATATTGTATTGTATATAATAGCAGTAGAAGAGATGTTTAATTTATTATATAAATATGTACATATGTATATTTTTTATTTATTTGGGCTTTAAGTATGAGAAAAAGCTTTTTTTAACAAACTGCATACTTTTTATTTGCTTGCACAGCGATAAACACCAAATGTTGGTTAGAAGCGATTTTTATGTATTCTCGCTACGCTAATACGTTAGGTTGTAAACTTAGCCTAATACTGAAACTCAGCTGCACGCCATATTAAAGCTGTATGACTATTATTTAACTAATTTAACAATTTCATTATGTACATTGGCTCAACTATGCCACTTTATGTATATTTCCGAACCTTTTTTAAACAGCGCATCTCTTAAAAATTTAATAATGGCGAAAAATTCATTGCTTTCAAAATATAAGTTTTTCCAGATTTATTTAAAAATTATCAAATCCTTATAAATTTTGAGGCGCTCGAGTTTTGGAGGGGGTAGTACCGAAATTCACTCGACAGAATGTACCTCCTTTTTAAATTAGGTACTCACATTCATATATATTCGCGATTTTCTTGCCTGCATATTACGAAAAGGAATGCTGAGATTTATAAAAAGACTTCCAAGTCGCGCAGATTAAAAAAGAGCTTCGGTGTAAATTTTATGTCTGAGTTAATTTTAAATTTGATTAGTAGTAAATTTTATTCCTCGAATCCTTTTGTACTCTTCACACTCATGAAAATATATTTATGCTAGAATATGGTGTAAATTCTTTACCATTATGGTGTATGATTTGAGCCAATACCAATACGTATTTTACACCAACGGAGTTTATATTATGTTCTAGAAATAAGAAAACTTGTATACCACTAGCATAATATATATGCCGAAAATCAGTAAAAAAAAATTACGGTAAGTGTAAATAATGCACGAAAAAGCGGTATAACCTTTACACTGAAACGAAATAAACTGTTCAAAAACTGCGCTTAGAAATGGCATATTTTTTATATTGAAAATGTATATCACGCCGATGTAAAAAATACACAAAATATTTTGGTGTATATTTGACTTTTATGCTACTTGAGTGTATAATAAACTTGCTTATAAAACGAGCTTTTTAGTGCATAAAATTGCGAGGACAATATCTGGACATGACAGTTTTATACCAGAGCCCACTTGAAGGAAACCAGCCAGAAATACTTAGGTATATACAGGGTGTCCAATAAGTACCCCGAGAAACTTAAGGAAATAGGTAGGTAGGGGGTGACCTCCCAGATAAAAAAATGTCCCTTGTAAAGGGGTCATCGTTTTTTAAATATTGATATTTTTTTCAAGAAGTTCAAAATCACAAATAGTCCGAGCCTATAATGGTTTCTTAATACCTTTAAACTGCATTGCATTTGAATATGACAAAGCAACTATCTGGAATTATTTTACAGAAAAAACACCCAACACAAACTCGACTATTCATCTGCTTCAGGTAGGTCGGTTAAAAAATACTGATCTATTGTGAATTATTGATGAGAAAGTGCTTAGGGAAATTTTTGTTTCCTTATATACATAATTACTTGTCGGCCGCTGTGGTGTAGTGGTAAGCAGTGCGCGCTTCCACTCCGCAACGCCTGGGTCCAAGCCCTAGTCAAAGCAACATCGCAAAAAAAATATAGAAACAAAGCTATAGTTTAAAAAACTAAAACCTCCTTATTAT